AGAAAGAAAAGAGATGAGAAGAAAAGGAAAAAGAAAATACAGATAAATGGTAAAACACAGTCACTTATAAAGTAACTACAGATAATGTTTAACTGACTGCTATATTTATAGTCTTCTAACATATTTTCTATATACACAAAAACTATATCCCTTTTTAAAAGGTGATGATTTCTAAGTGCAGTTTACTTAACATGGGTAATAAATAACTTTTTCTGTCATTTAATTTGCATTATTCTATGAGTTTCAATGGCTACAGTGTATTCTATTTCACGGTCTTACATTCGGCTATCCTCTTGCATTGCACATTTAGTATATTTCCAATTGTTCATTCTCAAACAAAGCTGTGAATTGCTGGCCAAAAGGGAATCAGTATTCTAAGGGCTTTTGATTCAGGATGCCAAATTCCTTCCAGAAAGAGTTACCTAGGCTAAAAACGTGAGGCAACCAGCAGGGAGATTCATAAAATATATAGTGTGTAAGTGTTGGAAGCCTGAGAGCCATGAGGGCCCCAAACCCCCTAAAAGGCTGCAAAGTGAGTCAGGGAGGAGCCACAGCCTCCCAAGCCCAGAGGGTCAGGCTGCAGACAGACCCCAAGCTCTGGGTCTCTCTGGGAAAGGTGGCTCCACTTACCTGTGCACAGGCCTTTGGGGGCTCTGGGGGCTTCTCATCCTGCTCTTCCATGCTCTCCTCCAGGCACAGCAGGGTGCTGACGTCTTGAGCTGCGCTGAGAGAAGCCCCAAGTACAGCATTTAGATGCAGGTCTGCCAGAACTGCTGGGCCCCCACCCCCATTAGTCCCTGCTCCCAGGATGCAGGATGCATTCCCATAGCAAATGCACTTCTGGAGGTTCCTGCCGGCTTCCTGCCCAAATACCCGTGTATGTACTGAGAGTCCCTCAGTCCCTCTCCCGGGCCAAGTTTCTGCAGCTCCAACCTGGTTCCTCCACTATCTTGGGCCCCTGGACCATCTACCTGTAAGCCCAGCTTATGCCCAACATGGCCTTCTGCCCACCACCAAAGTCTGCAGCACCAGTCCGTCCCTCTCCTATCCCACTGGGCCCTGGGATCCCCACAAATATCAGGCATATCGAGGACCCCCTGGTATTCACCCCATCCTACCCCTACCAACCTCAATCTACAGCCCCAAACCAGCACTTCTTCCTAGGGCCAGAATCACACTCACTGCATGAAGCTGGTGACACAGCTCCACTGACTGCTCCCAGGAACTGATTCAACAACTAAGACTGATCCTACCCTTCCTAAATCAGCCAGGCCTGTCCCTCCAGCAACCCAGCGCAGAGGGCCACCCACTTCCTGCTCAAACAGCCAAGCGTATATGCACAGAGCTCAGCTGTACTCACATCCTGTTCCCTCCACACTTCTGGGGTCCACTGGCTCCTACTCCAACAGCGCCAGCCAGATTCCCACCCCAACACCCTCCCAGGCCCTGAATTTGCAGCTCTAAACCAGTCCCTCCACCAACTTGGGTATACTCAGGCCTGAAACTGTAACAAGGCCTGCATAGGACTGGGGCCCTCCAACAGACACCAGCACAAGTCAGACAAAAGCAGCCCTACCTGCTACCTACAGCTCTAAATCCATGTCTCAGAAGCTCAGGTGTCTCTGCACCAACTAGGTGTTTTGGGATCCAAGGCTAGAGCAGCCCCTGGCAAATCCTACCCTAGGCAACCCATCCCCTGCACCCCATCTCTCCTACTTACTCTCTCTCCTGCTCCCACCATATTCTCACACGGCATAGTGTAGGTTCACAATGGAGCTGTTTCCTGAACTTGCACCCAAACTGTTTCCTCCGCCTTACTCCACAGCCCCCTGCTTGAGCCACACCTGCCCAGATTCTGGCCAAACACCTTTCGGGGCACCTGTGGCTCAGGAATATCCTGTCTTTCCACCAACCTGGGCACCATCAGGCTGTGATCAGGGTTCCAATCACGCAAAGACCCCAGCACCCTCTGTCTAAAACTCATCTCCGGCCTCCTGTTTTCCAACCAAACACCTGTGTGTGTGCACAAGGGGTGCCTGACACAGTCCCGCCCCTCTGCAGCTGCTCCCTCCACACACCTGGGCATCCTCAGGCAGAACCAGGGTCCTAGGACTGCCCATGCCTCCCCAATCTGCCCAAACGCCAGCACATGTGCAGAGTGCTGCTGGAGCAGCCCCTTGTCTCCTAAGACCAGATCCAAACTGGAGCCCCCAGACCTCTATTCCGCAGCCACTGCACACGGGCCACCCACCTAGGCTCCCTCCTCCTACTGACACAGCCACAGAGCAGGCTCATGCTCACAATCTGCATGCGGGACCTGGCTCCTCTGCCAGTCTGGGGGCACACCCTGCTCCTGAGACAAGAAGCTACATCCCTCACCCTGTGTCTCAACCTGCCTGGGACATCTCAGGCACCCACAGCCTCTGTGTGGGTTCGGGGGTCACCTGCCCCACTATTTGCCTGCAGCCAGAACACTACAACAACTAAACAGTAGCTTGAGCATACAGCTCCACAGTCAGCCCCGGGACTTGGGCACTCGCCAGCGTGGGGGTTCTCAAGCCCATGATACAGCAGCTCAATAGGAACTGGGCCCTTTGGACTTCTCTTGCCCAAACACGAGGGCCTGGGTATCATGCGGTCAGCTCTTCCCAGCACCAAATCTGCAGCACAGACTCTGTCCCTCTGCTAACCTGCACATTCTCATGCCTGCAAGTAGCATAGCCCAAGTAAAGGTCTCAGCAACACCTGCTTCATAACGATGCTGGCAACATACTGCTTCCTCCCCAGCTACCAATTTGATGGCAGCTGTTGCAGCTCTGTCCTTCCTGGACTCAAATTCTGTATCTCCAACCCGGAGTCTCTGCCCATCTTGAATGCCCTAGAGCTCTGCACTATCCTACATAGGTCCCTACTATCCGGTCCAGTTTCTGTTTTCCATTCAGACACCCCCAGGACGTGCAGGGTGCCTTCTGCCCACAACCTGTTTCTAGGCCCTGATACCCTCCTTCAGCCTGCAACTCCAACCTGGTCTCTCCACCAACCACAGCGTCCCCCAGACCTTGGAGAAGCGCGCTGTCTGCTCCAGGGGCCCAGGGGCCCAGGGGCCCAGGGTCACCTGCTCGGAATCTTACCTACCACCTCTTGCTTCCTACCCAAATACTTGCTCAAGAATAAAGGGACAGTGGCACAGCCCTTCTTCTCCAGAAACCACAATCTGCAATGGAGTACTCCATCAACCCGGACATCCTCAGGCCTCCACTAAATATGCCCGGCATTGGAGGAGGGGAGTTCTCAAGATGTCCCCTTACATCAATTCATGTGCCCTGTGTTCCAGCCACCTGGGCATCCTCAGGCCCCAGACAAGAGCACCACCTGACCAAGCACCTGCGCATGCACGCAGAGGACAGTCGCAGAATACACAGCTGCCTCGGTAACTCCATCAATCCCGGCGACCCCAGGCTAACGCGCCACCCGCACAGATACCAGGTCTCCCCGCTACACTCACCACCTCTTCCAGCTTCCCGCCTAGACCCTGCGCATGCGCGCATCGGACACCAAGAGCTGCCCCACGCCCCACCAACCTGGGCGTCCGCTGGCCCGCAGCCCAGGCTGGGCCTGTCACCGCCTCAGTGCCTGGCACGGCTCTGCGGCAGGACGAACTCGGGTTAAGCAACCCCCTGCCCCGATTCTGCCACACGGTCGACTCGGGTTAAGCTAGTTCGGTCCCCTCCCCTAGTCAGCATCCGCAAGGTCGCTGGGGGTTAACTCTGAAGGGCCGAGCTGCTCGGCGACAGCAACCGTCCGCGCGCGGGACAATGGCTGCGCTGGTGGCCGAACCCGGAAGTGCACTGAGGCTCGGCGAGCCAGAACTACAATTCCCAGAAGCCTCCGCGGCGCGGGCGGTGAGTGGGCGGGGTTCCGGCTCCTCCAAGGAAGTGGGGCGGTGGACCCGGTCAGAAGCTGAGCGGGCGTCGGCGTCCGGTGCCTGGAGGGGTGCTGCACCTGTGCTTGTGCAGGTAGGTCTAGGGGAGCCCTAAGACCAGCCGCGGGACCGGGAGGCCGAAGCCAGTGCATCGACGCGTAGGGAGTCGCTCTGGCATGACTTCAGAATGAATAGAAAAGGCGGGGACCCTTCCTGGGTGCCCATTCCTGTGAGACGCTGCGCGCGACCCACTGTCTCCTCTAGTCCTGGGGGAAACCTGTGAGACAGTTGCGACATCCCCATTTTACACTGGAGGGAGCGTCTACCGAACCCTTCAGGAATCTATGTTTTTACATTTAATAATAGTAAAATATAAAGAATCATTTTATTTTTAAATTTTAAGTTCTTTGTCTGCCTATAAGGCCTGAATGATCAGTTCCCCCACCTCTCCCCTTTTCTCTGTTTTTTGTTTGTTTGTTTTTGTTTTGTTTTTGTTTTGAGACGAAATTTCGCTCTTGTCGCCCAGGCTGGAGTGTAATAGCGCGATCTCGGCTCACAGCAACCTTCACCTCACGGATTCAAGCGATTCTCCTGCCTCAGCCTCCTGAGTAGCTGGGATTACAGGCGCCCAGCTAATTTTTGTATTTTTAGTAGAGACAGGTTTTCACCACGTTGGCCAGGTTGGTCTCCAACTCCTGACCTCAGATGATCCGCCCGCCTCGGCCTCCCAAAGTGCTGGGATTACAGGCGTGAACCGCCGCGCCCGGCCCCCTTTTCTTTTTGCCCTCATTTCTTGCCCATTTGCTTTGCACATTTTCCCCATTCTCCAACAGATCCAGCAGACTCCAGCCCCCGGGCGTTTGCATGTGCTGTTTGCACTCCTTGGCAGCCTGTCCTGAGGGATTCATTTGGTTCTCACCGTCTGCTCATTAGGGGAACATCATCTTCTCATTAGGGATTACCCCACTACCCGTTGTGAACTTGCAAGCAAACCCTTCCCTCCCCATATGCTCCCTGCCTCCTCCTTCATCTTTTATTTTTTTCTCTAAAGAACTTTTCACTATCTAGCACACTATATATTTTAAGTATTTATTTGGTCTACTGTCTGCCTTCACCACTACAATGTCAATTCCATAAGGAAAAGCATTTGTATCGATGTTGATCACTGCTGCATCACCATCACCTAAAAAAATAAAACAGAGAGACCTTGCACATGATAGATGCTCAATAAATATTTGTTGACTAAATAAAGCTTCCTGTCTCTGTATTAAACACTTTGATATCTCATTATCCAGCCCAATCACCCTATGAGGTAGTTGTGTTAATTTTCGTCCTACCAGGGAGGTAGCTGAAAATTGGAGCCCTGCTGTATGAAAATACATAATCTTAGTTTTTAAAAAATGCTTGTCAAAGCATTCCTGTAGTTTTCTTCACGTAAATTCTGACCTTTAATAACAACAAATTACTACTATTTGAAATGTAATCTATTCCCAAAGCTGTTTTGTTTTGTTTTGTTTTGTTTTTGAGACGGAGTCTCGCTCTGTCCCCCAGGCTGGAGTGCAGTGGCGTGATCTCGGCTCACTGCAAGCTCCGCCTCGCAGGTTCACGCCATTCTCCTGCCTCAGCCTCCCCAGTAGCTGGGGCTACAGGCGCCCGCCACCACGTCCAGCTAATTTTTACTTTTTTATTTTATTTTATTTTTGTATTTTTAGTAGAGACGAGGTTTCACCGTGTTAGCCAGGATGGTCTCGATCTCCTGACCTTGTGATCCACCCGTCTTGGTCTCCCAAAGTGCTGTGATTACAGGCGTGAGCCACCGGCCCGGCGCCAACTTTCTTATTATTAGTTATTGTGGTTGATCTTTAAAAAATACTTATTTTGTATCTGGTTAACCTACTGCAATGTTATTAATTCTTATAATACTCCAGTTGTCTTGGCTTTTCTATTGAGACAGTTATCTACAATTTCATTTTTTCCTTACCAGTATTTTAAATTAGACTTTCTCTTTCATGTTGGATTATATTGGCTACCATTTCAAAACAGTATTACTAAAAGAGGCATTCTTGTTTGTGTTCTTTTAATGGGCATATCTCCGAGGTTTGAGGGTTAAATGTGACGTTGGTTTCTAAATTGAAGTAAGTAGCTTATTTTTTTTAACCTTTTATTTTGTAAATTTCAAAACAAAAGTAGGGACTCAATGAATGACCCCCTATGACCTATGTCATCCAACTTAACTATTTTCACTCAGTCTTGTTTCATCTGTATTTCCACCTATATTGTGCTTTCCACTCTCTTCATCTCTCAGGGATTTTAAAGCAAATTCTACATATTATTTTATTTTGTCTGTGAAATGCTACATTTCAGCGTATGTCTAACGAGAACTGGTTTTAAAAAGAAAACTTCAATACAAAATAGATATATGTTATAACTACTGGGTACAAACAATACAAAATTATTTCCAGATGTTATTAGCAGAAGACCCAAGAGAGTTAACTAAAAGCAATTAACATCGAGGAGAGCTTAAAAGTAATTAAATGTGATACAAGTAATAATAAACATTTATGTTACACTCTGTGCTAATAATAATAAACCTTTATGTGAAACTCGGTGCTAAGCAGTCTTGTAAGATCCATATTTTATATACAATATATTAAATATATAATATGTATTACATATATACATATATATTACATATAATACATATTATATATTTAATATATTATATATAGCGTATATTATTTTTTCTCATTTAGTCCTCACCACAACTCTTGTGAAATGAGACTGTTATTTACATTTTACAGAAGACAAAACTGAAGCCTAGAGATAAGTAACTTACCCTAGACTGTATTAGGATAGAGTTGGAATTTGAGACCAAGAAGTTGAACTCTAGAGTCCACACTCTTAACTTTTACATTATGTTGCCCCTTGTCTACACGTCAATATCTTTCCTCTACATGCAAGTAATACTAAGTTTGCAAACAAGACAGAAAAAGCAAAAAAAAAAAAAAAAAAAAAGCCTTATAAATAAATTTAGTAAGATAAATATAGGTCATCTGAAGAAACCCTCAAAACCTTACTGAAAGAGAAAATGGACACATAGAAATGCCGTGTTGCTAGCTGTGTTGTAAAGATGTAAAATCTTGCAGATTGATCTGCAAGTACAAATATGACAAAATCAGAATGGGATGCCTTGAGTGTTAGCTCATCTTCCTTTTTTCACTTCATTTATTTTTCTGCTAATTGTTTAAGATATTCAGAAAATAGGCCAGGCGCAGTGGCTCACACCTGTAATCCCAGTACTTTGGGAGGCTAAGGCGGACCAATCATGAGGTCAAGAGTTCGAGACCAGTCTGTCTAACATGGCGAAACCCTGTGTCTACTTTAAAAATACAAAAATTAGACAGGCATGGTGATGCATGCCTGTAATCCCAGCTACTCAGGAGTCTGAGGCAGAAGAATCGCTTGAACGTGGGAGGCAGAGGCTGCAATGAGCCGAGATCGTACCACTGCATTCTATCCTGGGCAACAGAGCGAGACTCTGTCTCAAAAAAAATTCAGAAAATAGAGCATTAGTACTATAAAATGTAAAACTGACTTTGTTTATCTGTCTTTTGTTTAGTCTTTTTTTTCTTTCAAAATAAACAAAGTGGTAGTGTTTACTTCCAGGAACCTATAAATCCTAACTTAACCTAATATTACAGGACTTTAGAAGAATTACCACTGCTGGGGGCAGTGGCTCATGCCTGTAATCCCAGCACTTTGGGAAGCCGGAGCAGGAGGATCACTTGAGCCCAGGAGTTTGAGACCAGCCTGGGCAACATGGCAAAACCCCATCTCTACAAAAAATACAAAAATTAGCCAGGCCTGGTGGCACAAGTCTGTAGTCCCAGCTATTCAGGAGGCTGAGGTAGGAAGGATTGCTTGAGCCAAGGAGGCAGAGGTTGCAATGAACCAAGATCACACTACTACACTCCAACCTCAGTGACAGAGCCAGACCCTGTCTCAAAATAAATAAATAAATGAATAAATAAATTAAAAAAAAAAAAAAAAAGAGTTACCACTCAGGAACATTCTAGAAAGAATTCTAGAAAGATGCCCATCTAATCTAGAGATTTATCTATCAACTGTCTGGGGAAGAGCTGACACCAAAGTTCCATATTAAGGTTCTGTTTATTGGCCAGGAATTGGGTAAGGGCTCAACATACAGTGAAGAGCAAGAAAATTATGAATCCATTTACTATAAATAATAGAAGACAAAAGTAAGAGTCACTAGAGGGTGGAAGGGCATGATCTGTCTCTAGGATGTCGGGGGAGGGGGACATTTCTTGGCAGGGAAGAGGAAAGTTCCCAGCATTCAAATAGGGTGGTGTTTCTGGCACTACTGAGTGCAACCCTTAGGATCCTAACTCTAGTCTCTTGTATCACATCTAATGATTAATTTTTAAAATCTGAATTAATGTTATCATCATCATGATAGCCATTCAGCTCCGAGGATAGCAACAACCCATTCTGAAAACTCTTTCTTCATTTCCAGGAGTTTTCAATATTGGTTTCCCCCGTGTTAACAGTCCTTTTCTGTCTCCTTTGCTTGATGTCTCCTGTAAACATCGGAGGGACCCAGGAATCAGCTGTCAGCCTGTCCCTTGCCTTGTCTTCATCCACTCTGCTTGGGGTTGACATACAGGCCTATTGCTCAAACCCTGTAAGTTCCTAAGAAAAGTCCTGTTTTCCTGACTAGCATTTGGGCAGCTCTGGGAACTGAGCTCTCATAATGTCCTATCTGGTAAGAGTCCTTTTGTTTGCCTGAGGCCTCGAGCCGTGCTGTACCAGTTTGTCCGGATGGTTTATACTAACAGTGTGATTTATGGAGGAACATCTGGAGTCTGGAGCGTCAGTGACTGACCCTTTACAAAAAACCATGGACACCCAGGTTTAGGTGAGTTTCCCTCGATGTCAATGCTTCACACACGTCATCACACATCATTGCTGGGGGATTTCCCATGTGCTATGGTTTGGATATTTGTCTCCTCCAAAACTCATGTTGAAACTTAATCCCCAGTATGGCAATATTGAAAGATGGGGGCTTTTAAGAGGTGATTGGCTCACGAGGGCTTTGCCTTCATGAATGGATTAATCCATTCATGGACTAACGGATTAACGGGTTATCATGGGAGTGGAACTGGTAGCTTCATAAGAAAAGGAAGAGAAACCTGAGCTAACATGTTACCACACTCAGTCCCCTTGGCATGTGAACCCCTGCACCCCTTCAGGACTCTACAGAGTCCCCACCAGCAAGAAGGCTCTTACCAGATGCAACCCCTTGACCTTAGACTTCTAAGCCTCCATAACTGTATGAAATAAATTTCCTTTTTAAAACAAATTACCCAGATTCAGATATTCTGTTATAGGCAACAGAAAGCAGACTAATACACCATGTGACTCCACTGAAAGAGAACACTTGGAAGCTGGTGCAGGGTATCCTCCAGACTTCACCCCATACACCTTTTCCCTTTGCCAATTTTATTCTCCATCCTTTTGCTGTAATAAACTATAACCATGAGGTTAACAATTGGGTCCTGTGAATTCCTCTAGAAAATCTTTGAGCATGAGGTGCTCTTGGGGACCATCCTGACAGAGGAGTTCATCCAGCCCCATAACTTTAAATCCCACTGACAACTCTCAAATGTGTATCTCCAGCCATGATCTATCTAGACTTTTATGAACAATTGCCTACTTGATTCTCCAACTGATTCTTGACATGTCTAAATTCTTGACATGAAGCAAATTCTTCATTTCTCTCCTTATCCCAGAGTTGCTCAGAAAGTGACCTGTCAGTCATCCAGTTGCCCTGGCAAGAAACCATGAAGATATCCTTGTCTCCTCACTCTTTACCTTCAGCAAATCTCATTCCGACTCTCTCCACCCCTGCAATTCCCAGGATTCTAAGCATTTCATGCCTACCTCTCCTAAGGAGCCTCAATCCCTCACTTCACTATGTGTTTTCTCCTTTTATTAAGAGCTCTTAATTTCTTAAGAGCTCCTTGTTCCTTATGTTCTGCCATGATTTGAAAAGCCACTTCTTCTCTGACCCCTGCCTTTGTCACCTGCTCCTCTCTGGCTGACTCAGACTTACTCTTCCCCCTGGAGTCTATGTCCACCAATGGTGTTTGCTCAACCTCAACC